CCCGAGAGATGAATGGGTGAGGCCCCCGCATGCAAGGCAACATAGATACATGAGCAACTATAGACATGCATGTCCCAGGCTCCCCAACGCCTGGTTTGATGGGAGCTCACTCAACATAAAACCACGAGATTCAGAGGCTGGAGAATGTCTCTCTCCATCCTGCTTTTCTTTTTTGTAAACTTTATCCTTCTTTTAAAGATATTTTGCATAATCCACCACATTTTTTATCCAAAATGCCTTAACCTTTTGGCAAGTCCACCATATGTGAAAATATGTAGCATCGAGAGAACCACACCTCCAACGTTTAGGCTGTACATTCGGATACACAGAAGCCAGATGTTCTATAGATGGCATTTAGATCCTAAAAAGCATCCTGCTTTTCTTGAGGAAATGCTCATCTTCATGATCTTTATGAATCTTCCCAAACTTTGCTCCGGACAACGTATTCAGTCTTCCCTCCAGTTTTATTCTATACCTCAATTATTAAGTGAGAGAGAGAGTTTTATTTCTTCTCTGTTTTGGTTTGCTCACTCGTTGCAAGATACTTCAAGGCGCTTTGCATAACTCAATATCCCTAAATCAAAGCCTACGTAATCTCTTTGATACGCCCACACTCTGTACTCCTAGGACTGTAAAGTACTCCGTGCACCTGGTAGTAGGCAGCTAACGTCAGTTGTACTTCGGGGTGAACGAAGCCCAGCTCTCCAATTTGCAATGCCACATTTTTATTCCACTTTTTGGGCCAGTAGGTAATATTTTGCTTGGATCTGAACAAGAAACAGTCAAGAGGGGATTTGTTCCCTGTGGATGAATCTCCCCAACTGCCACACTTCTATCTCTCATAGATCTTTCCTTCATTTGCTGTAATTGCTTGAAAATCATTAACCCCATCATGATAAGGAAGGCATTTATGATTTGAATCATTCTTTAACTGCTCTTCAGCCGACACATCAAAAGCAGATTATGATCAGAACAATAAAATGCAAATAAGTATAAAGCAACAAAAACTGTAACACGGCAGCGGATAAAAGCGGATAAAAGCACGCAAACACATATGGCAAATAGCTTTGTCATATGAAAGCTCTTTAATCCGCTCCAAAAATGAAAGCAAAGTCAATTTCCAGATGACTTCCCTCTTGTTCCAGTTGCCATCAATTCATGGTCCCAGTATCTCATCCTTACAAATTTTTCAAAGTATTTAAAATTAATAATCTCATCAATCCTTCCAAACAAATACAGTTGAGTATGGAGCTACGTAATTGGCTTTGTTTTACAGCAGGATCTGAATGGAGAACAGCTTACAATTTTGGCCTCTATGCTGCAGATCTTTTAATATTTATTTATTTATTTATTTATTTATTAGACTTGTATACCGCTTCATAGGGCTTTCAGCCCTCTCTAAGCGGTTTACAATTTTTTTAGCAAATT